TTCTCTCCCCTTTCTGCCCCTTCCCTCCCCTCCCCTCCGGCGTCCTCGCTCCTGCTCCCGTTCCTTAGCCCTGCCGCCGCCGCCGCCGCTACTGCTGCTGCTGTCACCGACGTCTCCCTCCGCAGCTGCGCCCCCCGCCCCCCGCTTTTGTAGCGCTCCCGGGTTGTACCCGGCTCCTCTCGCTCTGCCCTCCCTCTCTCTTCGACTGTCCTTTCCTCTCTGGCACCCACCCCACCCGTCACTCAGCTGGTGACTTTCCTTCCCTTTCCGCCTTTGGGTTTTCCACTCCTCTTTGTTATTAGGTTGTTGTTGTTGTTGTTGTTGTTGTTTCCTTCTCTCTTTTCCTTCCTCTCATTTGGTTCTCCACACCAAATCCTCCTGGGTTCTTATGCTTCCCCACTTTGCCCCGTTCTTCTTTTTTTCAGTTGCCGCTCCACGTCCTCCCATCGGCTCTTCCTCCCACAGGCACACCTTGTGCGCTGAGTAGGTGTTTCTCTCTGGGTTGCCTTACACTCCAGCGATGGTCCCTTTTTATCAATGGAATCTGGAGCAGCATCCCTGGTGAAGCGAGGAGGGTGAGGGAGCAACAGAGGACGAATAAGAAGCAGGCTCTCTCTCCATCCCGATGCGGGAACTAACCCTGAAACAGCCTTTCGAGCCGCCGGCACTCAGTCCGTCGCTTTTATCAACACCCGTCCCAAACTAACCAGGGTAGAGGAGGGCAATCGCTCCCCAGAGCAGAAGTTAAGTGGTCAGTGAATACGGCAACCTTCCTCAACTGGTACCTTTCACAAGTGTTGCACGAAGACTCCCGGCATGCTAGAGTTGGGGATCCCCACATCCGGGCAGCAAGAGAGTGGACAAGACTGGATCTCCTCCCTCCTAAACACATGCCAACACGTTTCACACGGGTACGGGCTGCGCTTTGGCTGCATTCTCCCTTCTTCCCCAGACGGTAGTGCAGTCGCCGGGAAGGAGAATGAGCTAAGCTTTGGCCAGAGGCCATGCTGGAAAAATCGGGGGAAAGTGTGCCTGGCAAGAGAACTGGGACGGCCGTTCCTTATTTTGATCAGCCTTTCTAGCCCGAAAGAAGTAACCCCTTAACCGTGAGAAGGATGATTTGTGAAGCTGCAAGGAAGGGAGAGATCTCCACTCTGACCCTTCCCCCCCCCCCCCCCTCCAGCTACAGTTTGGCGCTTTGCAAAGAAGGCCACGAAGGGGAACCTTGCCTTCTCTCCCCCGCCTTCCTCGCGCTCGGCGGCGGTGGCCGCAAGATACGTTCTCATCGCCTGCTCCCTAGTCGTGAAGTTTCAGGACCACGGACAGCGCAAAGCTTTAAGGGCATTTGTCGCCACCTGCAGGCACGCCGTTTCGGGCTGGAAGTTTCGGCTCAGAACGAGACCTGCGGATGCAGGCGCAGGCGACATCTGTCCCCGCGTCCCACAGACATCTGGAGCGTGAGAGCGCGATCGTGCTTTTACGCAAAGCCAGCCATCCCCTGCTTCGGAGTTTTGTTGCTTTTCAAGTCCCTGCAGCTGTTGCAAATGCACTGGCTGGAAAAATGCAATTAAATGTCCCATTGCCATTGCTAGGCCAGGCCAGTGACCAAAGGCCTTCCTGAACAAAGGAGGTGTTTGAGAAGGGCTCCGTGCTTGGCTTCCTGACTGTAAAATCGACTCAAACACAGTCTTTCAGCCACTTTCCCCTTCCTTCCAATCCCTATTCTTCACCCATTTCAGTGACTGCCATTTCACAGACTGACCACCCTGAAGATTTTGTGTTTGTGTGGATGTTTGCCTGGAGACTGCAGTTAGTGCTTTTGCAAGAGAGGTTATCAGTAAGTGCCCAAATGAAAGGTAAACATTGCTTGGTTTGATTGTGAGCAGGGGTACCATAAAAGGCTGCACTAATATTCCAAAATAAAAGGTTCTCAGACACAAAAGTTGCTGCTGTAATCTATGCATTTTGCCCTGAAAGCCTCTATCCTTAATAGCAGGTGTGTAACAGGAGTCTCATTTTGATTATACTCATTTTGATTATACTTACACACTCCTTTCTTAAATACAAGGCAGTGCTTTGCTGGTGAAAAACCATTCTGGGCCGACACTAAAAGTTTTTCTTGAATTTCCAAGATATATTACAAGCAGATGATAAGATATGTCACTAAGGAACTGTTATATATCTAACAAGAAATCTTACTGGGGTTTTTTTTTATAAAACATGGTTGCTTCGGTGTGCCAAATTTCACTCATCTTTTTGCTTTATAAGTGCAAGCAGCCAAGCAACATTATTACAGAATATGATACCTAAATATGAAAACTTGTGGTCAAGGAGATTGTACTTCGGAACAAATATAATAGAAAAGGAAGTTGTTCTTATCACATAACTTTTTGAAAAGAACTGACATCATGATGAAAAAACAAACAGGGATGAGCTAGGATGAATCAGGGATGAATGAACAAAAAACATACAGGGATGAAATAGCAAGGGAGCTTGCTATTAAGATGGATTTGTTTACCAGTACATTGTTATTCATGCTAATTATTTCAAAGATTGCAGCAGATAGTCGTTTAGGAAAGCCCCATACATCAACTTCAGGAGCACAAATTAGAAAGAGGCGGTGGGGAGCTTTTGAACCTGACCCTCCCACCACTCCCCCAAGGCAGCTGTCTCACTGTGCCTAGTGATAGGTCAGGGTCCACACAAAAACACAAACCTGCACACAAAGCTAAAATCAAGAATATATATCTCTTGTTCTCAGAGCTCTAGGGAACTTTGAATTTCAGGAAATTAGAATGCAACAAACTATTAAAATTACTGATCTTCAGAGGATAAAGGATGCTGTAGAAGAAAGCAAAAAATCCTAAAGAAATCTCAAAATGAGAACAGCATCTCTGGGAGCCATCTGAAATGGGCACTGGTTTGGCACAGCATAAATAAATGTGTTGCTAGCCAGTAAACACTTCCAACAGAGTGGGGGATGGGGTGGGCGCTGAGTCTGGGTGATAAATTTATTCTACTGATAAAAATAATATTGATTGGGAGAAGAAGTTGAAAATCTTGGAAAAAATATTATTGCAATCTTTTTGGGATACTTAGCATTTTAATTCAAGGTATGATGAAAATTTTGTTCAGCCTAGTTTGCCTTCATATTTAGAATTAAGTTTGGATAGGATCCTGCATAACCCCCTCCTTCCTTCCTTCCTTCCTTCCTTCCTTCCTTCCTTCCTTCCTTCCTTCCTTCCTTCCTTCCTTCCTT